AGGTTCGCTGGGGCCACTGCTTATCGGCGGTGGTCAAATGACGAGAGGAAAGGTGTGCGTAATAGACAGGTCAGCATTTCATCTCGGAAACACTCGGGATATAAGCAAGGATGCACATGCCCTTCCCTGTGCCCAAGGAGGAAAAATTAGAGACTTAACCAAACATGTTTCATTGGAATAAGGCAAAAGACAAAAAAAAAAAATGGAGTTAACCCATACATGCACAAGAGAAAAATGGAAACGCCACACAGAAAGCCTGCGGATAAATTTGGACACCAGGATGTTTTAAAATGTGAAGCAATGGTGCTAACTACTACGCCACCTTGCAGTCCTGAAGGAAAACGTCTGAAAAACACATGAAGGACAATATATTTTTAATGTTTAGACAATTTACCAAGGTGAAAATACAACTTCCTTTTAGTGTTTTATTTGGGTACATTGTTACTCATAAAAAGTTTGAGCATTTTATGCTAATCAGACAATGAAATGAAAGAGAATTCCCATGAGACACCAGAGTTTCTTTGAAGGTTTTTCAACTGGGCGGAGACCCAGGACCCATACAAGAATGCATAAGCCCCCTCTCTTCTTAATTAGGGAAATGTGTTCAGTTGCTATTTGACACGAATAACAAATCAGTCAATCATACGGTAGAGACTCAGGGTATTTCAGCAACTAGATGCAGTGAAGATAACTTCCTAAACAAGCATCAGAATAAGGAAGAAGTTGAATTTCAGTCGCTTTGAATATGCTGTAGTTGGTGGCTCCAGTCTGAGTATTTAAAAAAAAATGCTGAAATTCTGAGAGTTTCACACACAGCCACCGTTATGGCAAAAGATATTTAGAGTGACTAAATATCCAGTTGGCAGCAGGGTGGATGGAAATGCTTTGTTAAGGGGCATTTTCAAAGAGGAACACGGGCAGACAAGGTTTGAGACGATAACAAGCCAACATTAGCTTAAAAGACCATCTGTTACGAGCAAGTTGTACAGAATGTCATCTCTGAACGCACCACACTGGGCGCCATTTCTGTCAGCTAAGATAAGGAAAAATGTTGGCAGTTCCAGCGATTCTTGATATGACATTCAGTTGGTAGGGTCAGAACAGTAACTCCTGCAGAGCATCTTGCCTTTTACCGCTGGTTCTGCTGCTGCTGGGGGTGAAATAATGACTTTGCGGTTATTTGTACGCATTGGGCCCCATAGCACTTCATTCAAATGCCACAGCCTACCTAAGTAATGTTGCTTAACATATCAATTGCTTTGTGGCCACAGCGTATGCATCTTCTGATGGCTACTTCAAACTAAATCAGCCTTACTTCTGTGTGCACATGGTTGGTTGAGATGTGCGCCTCTGTGTTGCCCACAGTAACAGTGGCAACACTGCGCAGATTAAGCAGTTGAACTGTAGTAATGAAATAAAACATATCACCAAGCATCATTACGGGTTTTATTGATGCAAAAGAGTCTCTTAAAGTTGAACTTGTATTTCTAGTCTGTGGTGAAAATAAACAGGCCGTGGCGGCAAGCTTGTGTGAAGGACGGCAGGGCGAGTCAGAAAAAGAAGGAACTACTTCCTCCCTACAAACATCCAGGCGTAACTGTCTCATCGGATGCACAGTAACAAATGGCCTATTGATAAAGGGAGGATATAAAAGTTGTGAATTTGTGTATCAACAGAGCTCAGGTGTGCAGAGGCAACTCCCACAGCATACACAGCGCACACACACACACACACACACACACCCCCACCCCCACACACACACACACACACACACACACACACACACACACAGACCCTGATGGGGTAGGCTGCGCAAGCAAACAAGATTAAAACCATGCAGGGGAAGAAATATAGAGGCAATAAAATAAATAAAAAATCCAGTGGGAAACTTGTTGAAAATATGAAGCAACGTTTTGAGATATTTCTGTGAGGAAGACATGAGTCAGATAAAAAAAACAACAACAAAAAAAAACAAAAAAATTACATCTTGGTTTGTCTTAGAGACAGCAGTGCAATAAAAACAGACATGATCACACAGCTGAAGTCACTGAATGAGCTCAGAAGCACATGATGCAGTGTTTACAACAACACCACGCTCACAGCCTTTGAGGAAAAACATTTACATCTTAGTAGCTTCGTCAGTCTTTTACAGATGGCTGCATTCGTTATTTGCAGGGAAAGTTTTTGAATACAATGTATAATGTAATTGATTTTGTTGTAGGCTCTAGTTTCTGGATTCTCTGCCTCCCAGATGCTGCCACCTCCAAGTTCCAAAATGGGGGGGTGGCACGGACGTTGTGCGGTGCTTGATTTCCTCAAACAAATAGCATATGTGATTATATAGGGCAAAAAGTTCGGTTTTGCAGTTCTATTAATAAGGCTAAGGCCTGCAGTATAGGTGAAAATGAAGACGTAGAAATATTCCTTTCCATAACACAACCAACAATTTGCAAACTGACACAAACAACCGTGCACTGTGACGTCACACTTTACACACCCATACTTATGTAGCTGTCCAGATGATGTATTCCAGCCGTCTAAACCACAAACACAAAATGATGACTGCGTCTGAAGGGCTCTTCTTCTTTTACCCGTGTTCGTCTACCCATTAAAGTCTTACGTTATTGACATTTAAACAGACAGAAGGTGAGGGATATTCTTGAACACCACAGGGCCTGCAAGGGAGAACAACATAACGAGAGGAGATGAGTCAATCGGGCCGTACTGCACATGATTCACATTTCTTAAAGCTCTCGGTTGCTTAATAACAGCCTGGTGGTTCGTTTGGATCATTCCCTGCATTCCCACTTTTAGAGACGTTAGTCATCTGGGAGCTTAGCTCGAACACTTCTCTTCACATTTGTTTGGCATTCCATCCTATGTGTCTAAAATCTAATATGCGAAGGACATGCTTGATCAAAAATAAAAAAAATTAAAATCATCTGAGGGAAGAACCATCCCACGGTCTATGAAACGTGTCAAAAAGGCATTGTCGAATTTGTAGACAGTGTTGGTTAATTTACTCATTTAATAATTTCCAGTCCTAATAAAAAATGGATGAAAACTTTTTCTTGGCTATAAAACAGAAACCTGAGAGGATTTAGCTCAGCTAAAGTCACCGGGGCTTTATTTTTCCATCACTACACCTCTGTGTTTGCACCAAATATCTCTTCCATGGAAAATTTGATCCATCCTCCTGTCCTAAATGAAAATGCTCTCATCCATCCACATTAACATTGTGCTTCTTTACAGACGCGACAAGCCCGGTCTACCGTGATACATCACTACACTACTGCGGCTGACTTGTTGCCTTCCTGCTTCTCTTTGTATGATTTTTTTTTTTTTTTTTTTACAACATGGTTGCTGGATCAAACAGCACGACACTCAAATTACCTTCTGGCCCTGAACGTTCACCTTAATTATTTACCATTTTAATTTACTCAAACATACATTTTGTGTCAAATTTCAGCTTTGGTGTCAAGAGTTTTCATAGCGGTTCCGTCTGAGTGACAACGTGGATGACAAATGGTACAATAAATCCTTCATAGTGAATGTACTGGAGGCTGGAGACGGGTTTTCCCAGGGTCACTGACGGCGTTTCAGAGATGGCATTTATCAAAAGCGGCACAGCTGAGGGCAACTGTGGTGGTTCATATGATTAAAAATATGTGAATGAAATCAAGTTGGTTTCAGCGTAGTAAGACTTTGTATGGTTTTATGTCTGATATTCAATAATGACAGAAAGTCAGCTATCTTACTAATGGAATAAAATGAGGCAATTAAATTAATAAATCCAAAAAATGCAACATACTTTTAGTATTTGAAATAAATAGATAAATAAATGAATCCAGCTAGGTAAAATAAAATAAATCCATCAAAAATAATAATAATAAATTTATAAAAATTAACTAAATATAGATAAATAACACTTAAAACCGAAATCCTCCAAAAATAATGAAAAAATAATTTAAACCAGATGCAAATAACTGAATAAAACAAAAAATGTATGCATATGTAGTTAATTAACTAACTATTCAAAGCAGACGGACACTAAAACATTTTGAAAATAATGGAAAACAGTTAATTAAATTGTGTTAGCCTTTTTTGCACTCTCTGTGCAACAACCAGCTTCGTTTCACCAGTTACCAGTCCCGACCATAAAGCTCCTCAGAGTTTAACCCTGAAATAATAAGATTTATAAAGTTTAAAACAGGATTTAATGATTTTAAAAAAAATGGTCAAATGTTACAAAATCATAAGTGGAATAGATACAGAGTGAAGGCCCACACTTAGCACACTATTAGGATGCAATCAGTTTCATTTTGTGTGACCGTCACCAGTTTTATGTGCTATGGCTATGTAAGCAGCAGCAGCAGCAGCAATGTGTTCATATGATCAGATAAGGAGACAGAATCACTTCATCCATAACAAAAGATTTTATGGCGTTTGACTGTTGGAACTTGTCTAAAAGATTTACTTGATTGACTTGCATTAACCCCAATGTTTCCTCATCTGTTCCACGTTAAAGTCTACCGCCGTTAGTCAGACGGTGTCCTTCAAATTAAAAGCGCTCTTTTTTTTTCATAATGGAAATTGCAGAAGTTATCAACATAGTGGAATAAAAACAAAAACGACAACACAATTTCCGTGTTTGTTCTTCATAGACTTTTCAAGACCATATTCCATGTAGAAATTCCAACAAGATTTCTTGTTTGTGATATCATGCAAAGCATTTAATGCTAACTTTAACCGAATCCCTTGAATGTTATTAAACTTTGCAATCTAGAATAATTAAGGATCTTTATTTATCTTTGCACAGCTAAAAAAAAAAATCAAGTGTCTATCCCTGTTTCAAACACTTTGTATATAAAAGTTGTCAAATATTTTAGAATTATTGCTTTTAGTGAAAGTTGCATCACGTTGATCAGACTTTTCTTAAACTCATATACTTAAAAACGTTTGTAATTAATTTCAATAATAGTATGTTAACTTCATTGCAAGGGGTTGATTTTACAAGCAGTGCACTGCATTTTATTTTTCCATTCCCAAACCGGAAATGTTATTAGTTGAGCCAACTTTACACAGCCTGAACTTCGAACGAAGTATTTGGAGACGACACAAGAAACAAAGTAGCGGTTCGACTCGCGCTTACATTAAATTCGAGACAGTGGGTGTACATTTGATTAATGTCATTTATTTTAATTTTCTTATTACTAACACGAGGCCAACTCTTGTCCTTTTTTACTTATTTATTTATTTAATTTGACCTGGATTTGTTTCGTTTCTTAGTTTGTCAGCTAACACCCAATCCAGGGAGATGATTTGCTCGGGTCTAATCCCGAGTGTGTGTATGTGTGTGTGCTAATCCTTTCACACTTAGTGCTGCACAACAGTTGGAGGAAGTCCAGCAGGAGGAGTGTCTATAATCTTATCGGCCGTGAAGTTAAATATATTGAGGTTCCGGGTAAATGAGTAACAACACGGAGGCTACTCTCTCAATCAGCTGGGACTCTGAAGATTCAAAAAAGAAAAAAAAAAACCAAAAAAAAAACATTGAACTTTCCGAGGAAGTATGCGGGGCAAACTCAAACGGAAACACGAAGTTTGAAAGAAACCTCTAGTTTTTCAGAGTAACTCCTCCAGAGACCCACCGGTTTGAAGGGGGCATGAAACCCCGACCGAACATTACTCCTCGCAAAGAAGCGACACGATGGCATCATGCGGAAGAAAGAGTCGAACCAAGTCAGTTCTTTGCCTCTTTGGCGTCACTTTGTTGGGGTATCTGATATTTTTCAAACACCCATCCGGGAAGGTCGGTGCTGCAAACCGACGTGAAGTCTCCGTGGAGGGCGAGGAAGAGAATGAACGGCTGAAGAGGCCCGTTTACGAGAAGCCCCCGCCGGATTTTAATGCCCTGGGTGAAATGGGAAGAGCTGTTAAACTGAATTTGAACAAAGAGGAGAAAATAAAAGAGGAGGAGAGCATCCAGAAACACCAGATTAACACCTATGTCAGTGACAGGATCTCACTGCACCGCAATCTGTCAGAGAGATGGAATCCGCTGTAAGTGTCACAGATTGAATCTTATGAGTATGGATACCTTTCACTACACTGTACTCCGACCGTATGGACAAGTCACCAGTGGGGACGAATCTAGTTTTTAAAATATTGAGTTTTGACACAGCTAAAATGTTCCATCATGCAAAATTCTACTTTTAAGTATTTTTTTTTTTTTTTTAGTAAAAAGTACCAATGGCTACTCCAGGAGCATGAAGCTCAGAGAAAGCTTCAAGTATTTCCCCCCTCGCCGATAAGGAGACAAAAGCTGATTTTTGGGAATATTTTTGAAAATAAAATGGGGTCTAAAGAAGCCCGATTGTGGCACTTCATTAGATAGATAAAAATATCGTTATTTGTTTATTTATCCTGGGGGAAATTTGTGTATCTAGTAGCCCGAAGAATATCAACAAAAGCACACATAAATGCGTGCATCAATAAGACTAATTTATGTTAATTGAAGTTATATATCCAGAATGTTATTTTATTTCAGCTGCAGGAGGAATAATGGTTTTCCTGTTTTACATGAAAAAAACAAAATGTTCTTTGCTACGATTGGCATAAAGTATTGTGAAGGTTTTTACAATTTTTACTCAATGTCATATATGATCACAAATGCCTACTAAAGAATCATTTAATGAATTATATATATATATATACACACCTACTTTGTTTTTTGCATTGTATCAATTTTACATAGATAAAAAACCACCAACATTCAACAGCTGCCTAGATTCCTCTCAGGTCCATGAATTAAACTTCTGTCTATGGGGAAATTTTTCTGCCATAATCAAAGAGCAAACGTGTTCAGTCTGAAAGCAGGATTTCATGTCTTTTGTTCTCAAAACTTGTAATATTTTGCCTACATTTTTATTTTGAAAGCAGGACTTCATGCCTTACACAAAACATCCGCCAGCAGTGTGCTATACTGATTGCTAACAGGGAGAAGGAACTTTGTAATGGTTTTTGTGTGCGTCAGTGCCCGGCTGCTTCTGAGATAACAGTTCCCAAAAAAATAAAAAATACACACAGCGTGGGGAAAATATACTGAAGAAGAATTCTTGTCTGTTTTTGTGAGTGCAACATATATAGATCATAGATGGATAGATATCATGTCGTGACTATTTTGCCTTTTTGTTGTGAACAAAATCCTGCCTAAGATCCGTAGCTGTTAGCGATCAGTAGCACACTGCTGGCGGATGTTTCGGTAACATGGAGCAGAAAGCTGATGTTGTTTCTCCCTATATCCAGTGGGTGGTGCAGGTTGCTACAATTGGTAGTAGTTACACACTGACACTCGCTAGAAGGAAAACAAACGCACCCAGTGCAACGCTTTCATCCCATCTGCTGAAAAGTTGCCAGGCGACTGTGCCAAAAGGCAGTTTCATGTTCCGTAAGCGAGCAGAGAGTCTGAGCAGAGACTGTGAGCGGGAGGAGAAGTTTTGAGTGCAAGCATTACAAGTTTTGAGAAGAACGACATGAAGTCCTGCTGTCAAAATGAAAATGTAAGCAGAAGTATTAAAAGTTTCGAGAACTAAAGACATGAAATCCTGTTTTGAGACTAAAAATGTGTGCTCTTGGATTACGGCAGAAAAATTCCACTGTGTACATTGTGCGTTTCAGTTGCAAAGAGCTCAAGTACCACTACAAGACTCTGCCTACGACCTCTGTGGTGATTGCTTTCTACAATGAGGCCTGGTCTACCCTGCTGAGGACGGTCCACAGCGTGCTGGAGACTTCTCCCGACATCCTCCTCAGAGAGGTGGTGCTGGTGGATGACTACAGTGACAGAGGTAGGCGATGGGACGCTTGATGGACAGGCTGCAGGGCTGAAAAGCCGGCTGATTGACAGTTACAGGAGACGGAAAGCTTGTTATTGGTGCTCATGTGGAAGCACACGGACGGCGCGCACTCAATGGATTGTCAAATGAGCTGCGACTGAAAGGGTGGGAAATGGCGGAGTGAGATAGATACACGTGAAGCAAGAGTAAAAGGTTTTGTAAGGGACAACTTTATAAGCGTTTTCTTGTCATGTGTTTAACAGAAGAATTAAAAGGGCTGAGGCATGCTTACAGATGAACAATAGCCGAATAAAATCATAACGACATCTGTGTTTGTAGGTGCAGCTGTTTTCTAAAACGTTCATCCCAAGGGCTTTAACTCAAGAGGTGGTTTCCAAACATTTAGAATCATGAGCCTGTAGGTGAAGCAATCAGTCCCTGCCTCACCCTCTGCTCTAACGCTGTTTACTCATGTTAGTTTACTCTGTGTCTTACTAATGTGTGTTAGGAAGATAAAGGCATTGGTCCTTCAGAAGCAAATTTTAGGATAAAAGCCAATTTTCCACTTGTCTGCTGCACATCAGCCTCATTCCCAGTTTGACATCACTCATACATTTATGCAGTGTGTAATATTTACAAGACATTAAGTATTATAGTGAAGTTAAACGTTACATAGTATGGCAATGCAAATTCTTTTTTTCCCATCTTTCTTCTGTGAGCTAATGCACGAGTTTCCAAGTCGTCATAGATATTAAAAGGACTTGGCGTTTACACAGACAGACACATTTCTGCATGGTTTGTGTTTCGCAATTGAAAGACTGGGGGATCACACACTTAACAACTGCACCTGGGGAGGGATCACAGGTTACAGGATTTCTCAACCACCAAAGGCAAATGAAAGCTTCAGACTTACCAGTAGTTGGTGGTAATAGAAGATATTTTCAGAATTCGGAGAAACTCTCCCATTTAATGAGAGAAACGCAACGTATAATACTTTGAGTTTATCCCGCAAGTGAATATAAACGGAGACATTTAACAACATATGCGCCTCTCAGTCCACCAAACTGAAAACATTAGTGTGCAGCCCTTTAATTAGCCTATTTGTGTGTACATTCAGAGACATACTCAGATAATAGGCTTCGCTGTGAGACAGTTGGAGCTTTTGCACCAACGGCTGCTGGAGATCGGCTGCTAGACTCTCTTCAGCAGTCGAGATTTTATCCCAGCTTTAAGATTCTGAACTCAAACTATTTGCAGCGTTAAAGGTTATAAGTGTTCACTTTTATTTGAATTTCTTGAAGATCACCTGAAGGAGCCACTGGAGAGGTACCTCTCCGGGTTGAGGAAGGTGCGTTTGATCCGGGCCACAAAGAGGGAGGGCCTGGTCCGGGCCCGGCTGCTAGGGGCATCCATCGCCACGGGCGACGTGCTGACTTTTCTGGATTGCCACTGCGAGTGCCACGAGGGCTGGCTCGAGCCGCTGCTCAAGAGGTGAGAAATTGCTTTTCAGGAAACTCTAGCACTCTTCAGTTTGAGTATTTCACTCCAGTGTTGACGTTAAAGATCGCGTTTCCAAGTTCAGCTGTCGCCAGGCATTGCGTCGACGTGCATCGCAAGCCGAGGCTACAAGTGCTGAAGTGTTTCAGTATTTGCATATATGTGCCACTTGTCCCCCATGCAGGTAAATAATAAAGAAGGAAGCAAAGGAAATCAGAACGATATCTCCACAAGCACAGCTATGCAGTGCCTCGCAGATGCCCTCACGCGCCTTGGAACGCATTTTCATTTTGTCACATTCCAAAACCAAATTTGTGCAGTTGTAGCTGAACAAGTACGCCGCTTCTCTTGGCCCGCTGGGGTTTCGTTTTTGCTTTTAAAACCGATCTGATGGAATATTGGAAAGGACTCTTGATGTGTGCAAGAGTTAGCCTTTCACCAAAGCTGCTCAAACGTAAAATGCCGCAAGCACAGATGTCCCCAAAGCAGATTTCATCGTCCACATTTCTAAAGAAGATACATGGATGGTAAGGTCATTTTAGCAGCAAGGCAATTCAAATAACAAACCAAACGAGAGAGCAAAGGAAGAAAAAGAATCTAATAATGTTTATCCAAAGCATATAAACTAGATACTCCTGTTCAGGGTTGCTAGATAAGTATAAATAAGTATTCTCTGTACTTTCTAAGTATGTTCTACATTTGTAAACGTAATGAGTACTCCACAGTTTCTAAGTAATAATAAGTATTAAGTGTTCCTGTTCTGGAAGATTTTTTTTTTTTCTGGATTTTACGTTCCTTTTAATTCCTTTTCTTGGCTGCAACAATAGGAGACTCTACATAACAATCCAAAAAGTAATCTAAGAAGTATAACATTGGTCCAAATAGTGAGTACTCCACAATTTCTAAAATTACTAACACACTGGAATTATACTAAAAAGTATAGCATTGGTCTAAATAGTGAGTATTTAGATTCTAAGTTTGTTCTAGTTTTTATTTTTTTTCTGGGTTAAATAGTGAGTACTCCACAGTTTCTAACAAGTAACTGACCAACTGACACTACTTCTGCTACAAGACAAACTGAATAAAAACATCTAACTGTACGTGCAACATCACTGTTTGTTTAGTTTTTGTGTGCATCGGCGCCCGGCTGCTTCTGAGGGAACAATTCCCAAAAGAAAACCGAAAAAAACCCAAAAAATATGCACAGCATGGGGCAAATAAAGTTGTCGTAAGTACAATATATATATATATATACATATATCTCCATCCATCCATTGTTGCAAGTTTTGAGAACAAAAGACATGAAATCCTGCTTTCAGCCTGAACATGTGTGCTTTTGGATTGTGGCCGTAAAATTCACCCATCGGGCAGACTTAAAATTTCTACCCGCCCTAAAGTCTCAACCCGTACATCTCTTATTTCCAATCATCCAAACTGGTGTGGTCGTTCCCATCGGGCCGAAAACTAGCAACTTCTCCAAGATCAGTTCCGCTCCCCTAGTGAGTTCTAGCATCCAAAGTTTGCCTGCGAAATAATCTCATCCAACTTGCGCCTCTGTCTCACACCATCGGTCTGAGTGTTTGCTAGTTCAGCTCAGTCCATCACAAATTTGTCGATATGCCAGGTGTCCGCAAGCTCCAGAGAAAAAAAGCGTCTGCCTTCATTGATAAGATAAAGGGATCCTGAAACACTTGGAAGCTGAATCGGTATAATAGCACTTTGCACCAATCTGATGGTGGAATAACCCGAGTGTCAGATCAAGATCAATAAATATATCTGTTGTTGTGCTCACATGCCTATTTAGTTAATGATTTAGATATGTGCTTTTTGATTAAAATGCGATGAATTGCAATGAATTAATTACTGACCCTGAAATTAACTCGATTTAAAATTGTCCCACCACTCAATCATGACCAACTGCAGTACGGGACGTTAACACAGATATTAAGTTCTACATTTTTCCTTTTTGACGTTAGCTTTCCCTGCCTTTCTCCAGGATCAAAGAGGAGCCCAAAGCCGTGGTGTGCCCCGTCATTGATGTGATAGACTGGAACACCTTCCAGTATCTAGGCAACCCCGGCGAACCTCAGATTGGTGGGTTTGACTGGCGGCTGGTCTTTACCTGGCACCCGGTCCCACAGTACGAACAGAAACGCCGTCACTCGCCCACTGACGTCATCAGGTACTAGTTACAAAAAAAAGACTTCTGTGAGCAAAACAAGATCGCAAGTTTTTATTTAAGATATTGTATCGATTCCATCCGTATCTTCTGATTACTTTTTTAAAAAATGTATTATTAAATAAGAGGTGGATAGAGACACCAAGATTAACTTCTGTTTGTTTTGGTTGTTTTTTTGCTTGTTTGTGTTGTTTTAGATCTCCTACTATGGCAGGCGGTCTGTTTTCTGTGAGCAAAAGCTACTTTCATTACCTGGGGACATATGACACAGGAATGGAGGTTTGGGGAGGAGAAAACCTGGAGTTTTCTTTCAGAGTAAGAAGCAATCTAGTGTATATCTTCGTGTTCTCATACATCATACCAATGCATGGTGCTCAGCTGAATTATCACTTTGCACTTGTAGAGTTTGCAAAATGCTAACACTGTTTAAAGCAGTAATTCACATCATGCGGCACTGAACAGACGTTTGGAGCTGGATTAAATTAACTGTAAGCCATGTGACAAATTCTTCTGCAAACCGCAGTGATCACATTGACGTGACGCCGCAAGAGAAAACAGAGCGGAGACCTTAAATGATTTGATTGCTGTGAATAATTTCTTTGCTGGAGTAAATACAACGTCCCAAAAGAGTAGTAACCAAAAATATGTCTCTGTAGTGGCAACAATAGCCTTTTTTTTTTGTTTGTTTGTTTCCGAGCTCGTCCACAACGTTTGCCCTCTGTGTAGCCCGATTGATTCACAGCTGAGAGGCTAACCAAATCCTGGTGGTGCTGCGGTTCTCGTCTCTCAGATTTGGCAGTGCGGGGGCAGCCTGGAGATCCACCCATGCTCCCACGTGGGTCACGTGTTCCCCAAAAAGGCCCCTTACTCACGGAGCAAAGCGTTGGCAAACAGTGTGAGGGCAGCAGAGGTGTGGATGGATGAGTACAAGGAGCTCTTTTACCATCGCAACCCCCATGCTCGACGGGTGAGTCCACACAAGTCATAAAGAGGGTGCTTGACGGGTGTCAAACGGAGTCGATGTCTCCCTTTAAAAAAGGAATCGAGGCACATTTAGACGGGATTAATCGTTCAATTCCGAAAGTCGCATACTTGTTTATTTTTTTTATCTTTTACTGCATCGACATGCGGATGCAGTAAGAGACACCCACGCCTGCTTGTACGTTTCGCTCAAACTACACACGTACAAGCTCGGCCGCTCCCCCCGCTGCGGTGTAAAAAGCTCCCCCTGATTAAGTGACTCTCAGGATACATGAGCGACACACACTCAAGGTGACAGGAGTGCCGGGGCATTCCGGTGTGTGATTACCACCTTTTCCGTGTCACTCTGTGCCAGCGGGTGTCACCCACCTGTCCTTGACAGGGTGATATCAGTGCTAACCAGTGGGGTGCCCTGTCTTAATGTGTGTGTGTGTGTGTGTGTGCGTGGGCGTGGAGTGTGTGACAGTGTAGTTAAGAGGAGAAGCTCTCGAAGCACAGATCAGGTGGCGCTCATCTCCCTGAGAGGAGGAAACCTTGCTGAAAGGGAGTATTGCTCAAAGCAAGCAATGCTGCGTTACTTTTTAGCGTGAAGGGAGACGTTGGGTTTGTGCGTTTTAATGTTTTAAACCTTCTGTGAATCATTTGTCATAATTTAAAGCATAAATCGACGTGATGTAACTTTGGTTTAAGATGCAGCTATGCTTTGCTTTTTCATACCACAAAAAAAAAAAATGGAATATATATTTCCTGTAGGCAAAATAATTTTTTAAATAGGCGATGGCTTTAAATTCATGAACAAATTACATGAACAAAAAAAAAGAAAAAAAAAAGTCCAGAGTATTTTGAGTTTTACATTTCCGAATGGAAAATCATTCATTTCCTCCGGCTCGGTATCTGAGTCCTGATACTGTGTTAAAATTAAGTAAAACAATACCTTGTGCTTGAAAACTTAGTAGCTTTACCAGTCATTAAAAATGCATCGAACAAGACCCAGATCTAGTATCAGGGTTCAGATCGGGACTTCTGTCAGAAAAAACAGACTCCGCATTGTTGTCTTAAAGCCCTGCAGCCACTTTGAAATATGGTGGTAGCAGCATCATGCTGCGGGCATAGGTTTTTTTTATTTTTTATTTTTATTTTTTTTAGCAGGAACAGAAAAGCTGGTCAGAGTTTTCAAAAGTACTTCAACTTAAACTTTCTGCTACAACTGCAGTGAATGACGGTCTTAGAAAGTATTCACTCGGGGGAGCTGATTGCAAAACTTGACATTTTTCACAGTTTTATTTGTACATTTTTGAACAGTCTTTGTAGTTTTTGTTTTACAGTTTAGCTCTACTTTGTGTTAGTCTATCACATAAAAATCCAAATTAACCCTTTCATGCATAGTGGACACTACTGTAAGGCATTTTTTGTGCTTCTTGTGGATTTTTATGTTATAAATGACACAAAGGATCATAATTCATGCATGAACGGGTTAAGACGTATTTATGTTAGTGATTAAGGTACAAAAAACCCCCAAAGTGTTTGCTTTTCCAACACAAATACGAATATCAAGCACATCGTCAAAGTATTGTTGCTTGTTGTGGAAAGAGGAGCGCTCTTCCCCTCGGACCCGACTCTTGCACTGGGTCATTCCAGCTCCACCAGCCCTTGTTGTTGTTCCCTTGTCTGTAGCGGTGCTAGCACTTGATAAAAGACCACCTCTTTTAGGAATCTGTCTCATGACCGGATAAACTGATAAAGAGCCAATTAGAGCTGTGTTTGGGCACACGGCCAGCATCCATCATTCTGCAGCGCGCTTCTAGCTTCTTCTTCTTCCAGCAGTGAAGGTGTGGTGAGTATATGCTGAATGGCAACGCGCGAGTGTTTGCTTTCTTGTAATAACCAGCTAATCTTTATCAGAGTGGCGATGCCTGTTTGTTAAAGATAATTTACATAAGCAGATCGCTGTCGGCATGTAAAACACACAGATACATCCTTCTGTTCTTTAACCGGAACTTAGGAGTGTCTTACCAGTAAAATATTTGACGTCATTGTGTGTGTGTGTGTGTGCGCGTGTGTGTGTGCGTGTGTGTGTGTGTGTGTGTGTGTGTGATTAATGTTTGACATACAATAAAAGTGGGCAGAGTTATGAAACAACTACAGAGGGTGCTGTTGTACACCCTTTCACATCTTGGCTAAGCTATGATGCAGCAGCTGCGAGTGAAGCATGAACTCTGACTTTATCAAAGTTGTTTCTAATTAGGTCAGTAAAGCTGAATTGTTATGTTTTATTTTTTTCTCTTTTTCTAGGAGGCCTTTGGAGACGTGACGGAGAGGATGAAACTGAGAGAGAGGCTGGGGTGTAAAAACTTTAAGTGGTATTTGGATAACGTCTACCCCGACATTTTTGTCCCACACGATCGACCGGGCATGTTTGGAATGGTTAGTCCACTGTACCGCCAGAAATATTCAAAATGAGTGAATTTGCATGTTTCAATCACTTTCTTTGCTCCATCAGTAAAGAAATCTTTCACCCACGCATGCAGACTGCCACTCAAATTCACGTTAAAGCAAATACTTTTTGGCAAAATTTTGCTTATAGGAATAAGAGAAATATTGAATTAAATGTGTTTGAACCTTTGCAATATACCTTTATGTGACTTTTTTTTTTTTTTTTGGTAGCTGAAGAGTCGGGGAAAGACCAACTACTGCTTTGACTATAATCCTGGGGAGGACCAGGTGCTGGAAGGTCATAGGGTCATCCTCTATCCATGTCACGGCATGGGTCAGAACCAGGTGAGGCCTGTCAGACAGTTTAACTCTTCTGGCTCTGTATGGCCCCCAATGTAGTTTATCCTACTTTGTAGTGCAGCCCTGGGCTAACTTGCATTTTGTGTCATAGTTAGAAAAATTGCGGACAGCACTACACTCCCATTACTCTGATCTTCTAAAGAGATGCGTTCTCTTTAACTTCTCTTTTTAAAACAAATGTCGAAATCAGTCAAAACCAAACACAAACGATAATCTTCAGGTCAGCCATGCTAACCCTGTTCTTCTGCACAGATCTAGTTGTTTAATCTTAATCCTTATGGAGACATGACTGCTTATGCCTAGTGAACAGAGTCACACAGAGCCTGTCTTTTAATAACCACTGGTTTATTTGATGTCTTTTTACTCTATAACTTTTTAAAGATATATTTCCACTCAAATCATGGCTTTGTAATCTTAGCTTTTAGATTTAGCATCTTGTACCTGTAGTTAAATGTTGCCGTCAGTATTAAGATAACAAAAGTTCTTATGTTTGTAGTTCTTGTAGCTCCAAACTATTTACTCACCAGCTCCTTAGTTTAGTGACCGTTTTTCTTATAACCATTTTTCTGTCCTCTGAACCTTCAAACAGTCGCTCCCTCCTCATTTCTTACATTTATAAACAACGGACTTAACTTTTCCAGGTTCTATAATTCATACACAGTGTTGATCTGTAGCGGGAGACTGTCTATTTCTCAATTGCATTTCCTCTGTCAGTTGTCAGTAAAGCAGGGAGCTCTGTGAGATTTAGCAGCGCTGCCAGAAACACCCCTCTGTGGACACGCGCCGATGTCATTTTTGTCGAAAACGGCTTCTGTAGTCAGCCTTTCGGGAGTGCCCTGCATAGCTACACTCTACATTCGTAGTCTGTAACCAGTGATGCCAGTTTTTGGTGTACACACACACACACACACACACACACACACACACACACACACACACACACGCACACAGGCAAATTCTGTTGCACGGTGTTTACTTCTAACTGCTTCTTTGTTTGTGTCTTGCGTCTGTGATTGGTTCTCCCAACAGTTTTTTGAATATTCGGTCGACGGGGAAATATGCTATAACACCAGAGATCCTGCTGGATGTGTTGTTCCTGACAGCATCAACACTTACCTGACTGTCGTACAGTGTGTGAAACGAGGACAAGCTATTCCCATGGACCACAAATTTATCTTTCGAAAGGTACTGCAAAATCATCTTGGGGCCAAATTTATTTCCAATTTGTGTGTCTGTAGCTTTTAACTTAAAAAAAACAAAAAACAACAACAAAAAAAATGTGTAGAGGTTTTTTTTAGGTTTCTCAATTATCCAATAATGTTAGTAGTCTGTACTGTCTAGTAAAAGTTTTTACTTTGTAAACTTAATTATATTTTGTCACACTACAACCTGACATGTATTTTATTAGGATTTTTTTAGTCAGCAGAAAATAACAGTGGAAAGGGTGAGATGCATGGTTTTCAAATTGCTTTTACAAAACAATTTTATTTGTGTGCTCGGGGTGTTAGACCCCCTTACTCTTATAACCCCATATAAAGACTATTTAGTGAGAACAGTCCACCTATGTGTACTTTAATCTCAGTATAAGTCAGCTATTTCATGAAGGCCTCAGAGGTTGATTAGAGAACGTTGGTGAACAAATAGCATAATAAACAAGCCAGAAAGGCCGGGGATAAAGTTATAGTGACATTTAAAGCAGGGCTATGTTATAACACCAATCCATTAGCCGAAAATGGGCAGAGCGTGAAATTAGAGCGTGAAGTTAGAAATCCAAAAGTTTGTGGCACAACTTTGCCTTCTTCCAAGTCGAATAGGAAGGGACACGAATCTGTTAACGTGAGGACGCCAGCAACGTTTGACATGAGGAAACATGGATTGCAAAACGTTGAAACTCCCTGTCCAATCAGGCAAAGATCTCTAGATGAACAGAACAGAGATATATCTCTGAAAAGATTTTTCAAATGTTTGCAGTAAAAGGTCAATCTGTACAGTATTGACTCACCAGAAGCTGGATACAGACTTTTCAGATTTCTGTGTCTGAAGGAACAATTAAAAAGTCTCGCTATCCTTTTAGTTATGCACTCCTTAGTGTTGGTCATGGCATAAACCCCTGCAAGACACACTGAAGTGGTGGTGGTGGTGTGTTTGTAACATTTTAAATAATAGAAGATTGCAGCTATAAAGTAGAAATGAACAGATTCATTGGATCTCGGCTGATCAGGAGTGACTTCCCCCGAGCGAAACAAAAACAAAATTCCCGCCTGGCTCACGGTGGAAAAACAACAGCGAGCTGCGTATTTACCACACGCTACCGGAAGCTGTTCAGCATGTGCCGAATGTAGTCGCAGGACGTCAGTGTCTGACAGCCTGCCATGCCATCTAAATGTAAATGGATCTGAAAAGGTGAAATGTATGTAGGAAGAGTGAAAGACGCTGGAAAGTGGGAAATTTTTGGGAGAGACGCTGATGTATCCTAGGAAAAGGTTCGCTGGATTTGCATTTCACCCGGGCCAGCTTGTGTTGTTCTCTTGTTGTTCTGTGTTTTTCGCAAAATACAAAAGGTTCACATTGTAACTGCATTTTTGCCTCACGAGTAATTTACAAACCTTTGTGTTGTAAATATAAATGAGTTTCCTGTTTACTGAATGTTTTTGTTTTTTTCCAGGATGGGAGTCTGTTCCATGTCCAGACCCAGAAGTGTATTGAAGCAGTGGACCAGACAGACGACGGGACACCAGCCCCGGCTCTGAAGCCCTGCTCTGACATCCTTCGCCAAAAGTGGTTTTTTGAGGAGAAGCTGTAGACACTTAGCATATGTGGAGCATCTCACCAGCTGAGGATTCCTCTCTGATCCCCCTTCCCAATCAAACATCCTCATTTTCCATGCAATTGCAGGAAAGTTCATATTTTCTGAAGCGTCTTGTGGACAAAACAAGACAATAGGAATTCTGGCTATTCTTCAAAGTGGGCCAGACTCGGTTCAAGACTTAGTGATGATCTAAATTACATACGGTGGCATTCTGTCGGAGAGACTGTTTTAGCTCCCTTTGCTTTTTGCAAACAGACATAAGGACACAGAAACTTGTGCATCGATCCGACGGAAATCACGCGTTTGTGAATCTGCCAAAAGAGCTTCTCGTGTGGCTGCTGGCTGATGTTTTTTTTTTTTTTTTCCAAGCACATCATCAGGGCTTCTTTCTTGATATTTGGATTTTCTCCTGTAGAGGGGGCTAACACTCCTCTCTGCGTTTGATCCTTTCTGTCGGCGAGTCCTCGCTTCATCATGTGCCAGCGAGGACAAATGATGGGGGGGTTTTAATCGGAACCTTTTGAAAAGGTTGACTGCTCGATGCTTCATTATAGCAGCAACTTGAAAGCAAAGTCATAGATCGCCGGTGTTATGCGGGTGCCTGACCATAACGCTGAAAACACGGGAAACCGCACTGTTACTCTGCTTCGATTTCACATTTCATGTGAAGTGAAAATGTCATGGGTCATTTTTGAACAGTCCCACTCAAAAGTTTTCATGCACTCATCATTCACATTGAATGCCATTTATCCTTTTATTTAAACCGTTGTTTTACCAGGGTCGACTGTAAACATGACCCTCAACTTCACCAGTTTGAAAACACAAGAGTCAGACTTTGAATTTATTTTGGATTTTTGCTATTCCCAATCGAAAACACAAGCTCAAATTTACACATTCTCCTCAATTAACATTTTGAGTAAATGTCCCTTAGCAGGTTGCACACAAACATTGTAAGTCTTTGTTGCCCCTGATGAGCTTCTGGCACAACTCGGGTATTGGACCACTTCCTCTTTCATTAAAAATGATGGAGCTCATTTAAGTTGCTCGGTTTCCTGGCTTGAACTCGGCTTTTAATCATAGCTTATACATTTTCACAACGGTTGAGTTTGAGGCCATAGAAGAAGCTCAACAGTCACATGTTTCATCCCCTCTCAAACCAGTTTCGATGTGTGTTAGGGATCTTTTCCTGTTGGAATCACTAGTAGTGAAATGTGTTGTGGTACCTGGAGCCAAAGAAAGAAAGAGAAAAAACAGCAAAGGAAAGCAGGAGTTCACACAGAACAGCACTTGGTGCCGCCGCCGCCATTTTTGCCAGTAATTTCAGTGTATTTAGGCCTTTTTGGCCAAAAAGCTTAACATTTGTCTCGTTTGAACATGGAGCGTTCCTCCAGAGAGCCTTTACTTTGTCCATTTAGACTGCTGTGAATTTCCATTTAGCCAGAAGGTGTTAATTTTACCATCTTCCAAGTTATGACTGGCTGGAGTCTTGGAGATTCCTGGGTTAATCCAGAACAATCCCAACAACCTGCCTTGAATTCAATCTTGCAAAAACAAAACAAAAGAACTATGACTTAAAACCAGCTACGTGCAACAAAGCCAACCAATTTAAATACATTCCACCAAGAAATATTAATTTACAGATGTCAACAAGAACATTTGTCTAGATATTTGTGGGTTGGAATATATTTAAACCTGCACACTATAGGTCAAAAACTTTGGGAGCAAGATGCAATTCCCACAAAAATCACCAGTATACATTCCATGACTCTTATGTAAAGAATGGCACATTTAACAGGTTTATGAATGCTTTATTTGGACTTTTCTTTCTTCTATGCAACTTCTTCTGACTTTAATTGCAGTACTTCAGCATCTGCCACTTTTGCACTGAAGCTGTGCACATCTTGTCAACCCTAAACCCAAAACTCTAAGCAAAGTCTGATCTTATGCTAAATAAATGCCAAAATCCGTAGAACTCCTACTGGTTTCCGAGAAAAGCATATCAAACAATAAACTTAAAGTTGCTGCCAACCTTGATTTGCAAAAAAAAAAAAAAAAAAATCCACAATGAAATTCTAACTTATTTGACTAGTTCTTGTTTTTATAAGGTCAATTTTGAATCGCATAACCGTCACAGCCTGATGGGGAAACATTTTTAAGCTGGATCAAATTAATTCCATGACTGCGTGTGAACTTCTGAGTGAGACTGCAATTTCCCGTTTAATGGCTGAAATAACGCATGCAGCTGTCTAGGCAGTTTTGTGTTCATAAAGAGTTTCCTTAAAGCTTCTCGTCAGATTTTGCCGTAACAAGAGTCAAGTCGTCTGGTGTCGGTTGCAGACCAACGTCGTTCTGCACTAAAATCAGAGCAGTAGTGTTCGAACTCGCTCACCCATGTGCCTTTTTATAAATAAAATAAAAGTTTATGCTACATAATTTAATATCAGTGGAGGAAAAAATGCCTTAGAGTGAGATAAATCAGTGTTGCTAAGATCGCAAGAAAAGAAATTGGCTGCACGCCAAACGTTTGCACAGGCGTGGGGTTCTTCCATTGCTAGCACATGTTTTTTTTTTGTTTTTTTTACTCTGGCGGGTCATACTGATGTGAATACTGACGCCACTTCAGCGTTCATCCATCAGAATAGACTTCCTTACTTGTGTGGGTCTCCCTCAGGCCATGCGGAGGGAAACGGCAGAGGAGTAGACAGTTGTTGGTGTCTCCAGAGTGCCGCCATGCCAGATGGCTTCCTGATTGATTTTCTGGGCTGCTTCCAATTCTTTATCACATTTCCCCCCCCCCTCCTCTGTATGTGACAGGACTTTGTATTTTTGCACCTGTACATACACATTTTTGAGGGGGGTAGGGGGGGGGGAGAAAACGAAATCAGGAGTACATTTTTGATAATAGAGCTGAGTGAATGAAGCAATCTGTGACCTCTTCCATACCATTAACCTTCACAGGCTCTTTCACCGTCGGCCTCAAATGACTGCTGTTAGAAACTAATGGCAAGAGACCATCAAGCTGGAAAAAGATTTTCGATATCGATTCAAGAGTCTTTGCTTACAAGAGTCTAAATGGAAGCGTTTTCGAAACACTAACGCCGGGGAACTGAGCCGGACTAGAAGCTCGGTTCGTTTATCGCGAAAATGAAATTAACAAAAGCGAAGAAGCACGTGCTGCTGTTACAGGAAGTTGACGACGTCCGCAAGGTGCGGCCAAACGTTGCGCGAGCCCAAAGACGCAGCGTCGGATATTCGCTGCCATGCACTTACACTTAAGAGTTTTTATTGCACTGTGCAGAGCATTGGAAGAATGAGCTGAGACATGGCTGTGGTGGGCTGGAGGGAAGCACAAAATAAGCACACAAGCTTATTGAAATATGGATGTAATTACTGGGCTTCAGTTCCCTGTAGTCCCTAAGAAGGCTTTTTGTTAGGATTATAAGCAGTACACTGCTAAGTGCTAAGTGAAGTGGACCAAATGACCGGTGGGGACGGTGTCATTCATAGTAGGAAGCAAGAAACATTTTTTATTTTTTTGTCACAATTGTATGATGTGTGATAGTAAAACATCCAATGTGAGGTGGTCAAGTTTAGGCATGATGTCCGGTTAGCCTATTCTATTGCTGTGGTTCATCAATGGACATTTTTATTGACCTTTTTTATTTATTTTTTTTAAATAAGACACACGACAAGTAAGTAAGCAGTCTTTGGTATTTCCTGATATTCTCTTGGCTTTCTGAGTAATAGAGCTGATTTACCAGAAAATACTCAAACTGCTCCCTTAATTGATTTATCACATAGAGTGGGGTGGGGGGAGTTATTTATTGTACCCGTGTTGCCATCTGTTTTCAAACCATTCGAGTGTTATCTTGGATGCTGATTTGATGTGCTGCAGGTTTCAGCTGCACCGTTTCACCATTTCAAGATTATACGTCTGTGATGTTGTCGTATTTCTTTTACATGGCAGCCAAACCTGTGTCGTCAATGTATTCCAGGACTTGTCGGAACGATGTTATGATGTTGACGTATTAGACCGTGCGCTGTTTCACAATAATGCTGAGGTTCCTATTTGTAATGAAAATAACTTGCAGCGGGAGATTTTTTTTTTTTTTATGCTATTGCTGGCAACCATGAAGGTGTAACATTCCTCAAAAATAAATGTTATTACAGTAACATAAACTCACACTGATGACCTTCAATTTGAGTACATGTTGTGGGCGAGAAAAAACTACATATTTTTTTTAAGCAAACAAATGCTACAAATATTAATAGCATCATATATATGTAAATTGAACAGAAGATTTTATTATTTTTTTATTATCTTAGCATCAAGCCATTATTTCTGGTTCCCTGGAACTTAAAAATGACACAAAGGAGAGTCCATCAAAATAACAAAGACAAGAGTACGTGCTATAAGTATGTTTCGGGTGTGCATTAGGGTCATTTGCTGTCTCCGTTTGCTTTAGCGAGAGACAATTTAAAACAGTTTTCTATATTCTACTCATAGATAACTTTCGGGTAATGTTATATGACTACACCAATTGTAAGACTAGGACATTTAAAGGTATTTCAGTTCAATCAGGAAGTCTTAATGTAATGTTAATAAGATTGTTATAAGACTCAACTGGCAAAACGGAAAACGAATAAGAACAGGACGTGTTTCGAAATTTTGTGAGGTTTGTGCATTTCTTAAATGGCTAGGTCATGAAACAGAGTAATAAACTGAAATGCACCTTTTATTTATGGGTAGGAATCGATAACGTGACAGCGAGTTGAGAATATGCTACTGCTACAAGAAATTAATTTTAGAGCTCTACATAAAACGTAGATTTTTTTTCTATACATACTTCCTGTTGAAAGCATGTGTCGACATTTGAAACACAGGATGCCAATTTCTGTGTTTGTCAGTATTGTCAATTAAACAGTGACTCATCTGCATCCACAGTGATTTAAAAAGACTCATTTCACCCACATTAAACTGCCGGAGATGCGAATCAAGATGCTCAGGGGATAATGAGGGAAGGGGAGCTAAGTTTTTTCAACCATATCTGATTGGATTGGTCACCAGCTGCTGAATGAGATGGTGAAACGTTGTGCCAGAGCCAAGCTTCTCTCGGTTTCCTGTGAAGCTGACAGTCGAGGCCTGCAATCAGTCTCAGTTACTCGCTGGAGATTTTCGGCTGTTTATTTTGTCTGGGCTTTGTTTATTGCGCGACATGTTTCTTCAGCATTTTGTGTAAGATGTAAAACACATATATTCTGTTTTTGGTTACTTGACTAGGCTGCATCTTTCGCTTGAAGAAATAGCAGCGAGGAACATTTGTGCCCCACCGAAAGCGCCGCATGCATCAAGCCAGCTTCTTTCTCGCACAGGATGACATGTTTTGATGCAAAACAAGCCAAAAAAAAAAAAAAATCTCCACATTACACGGCACCGCACGGCTGCTTGCTCAGAAGAAACTGCGGAGGTCTACGATGCCACTCTCCCTTTTTTTGCACACTCTCCTCTTCATCTTTCATACACAGGTTTGCAAAATATTCAGCAAAAAAAAAAAAAAAAAAAGTGGGGTTGAGAAATCCTGCAAATGCATTCACAGAAACCCTGCATTTTGTCGCAGTCTACTCGCAGATTGTAGGCGTAGTTTTTGATCCAGTGAATAGATGCTGCACTACAGCCTCTCTCTCTCTCTCTCACTCTCACACACCCCATATGTGTCTTTAATGGTAATGCAAAACAAGGCTCCCCGCGGAGAGAGTCATTGGAGATGCTTAGGCTTCAGTTGTCAGGGAGCTGGAGAACCATAGGAGGAACTGAACACGCACACACACACACACACACACACACACACACACACCAACTGGAAGTCATTTCCACACTGTTGTCGGTTTGGTTTATGTAATCCACCAATACCCAGAACAGCTCAGGAGCTGTAGCTGTTGGCGGCATACTCTAGATGACACACTTTCACTTTCAGGAGGGTCTAAAGATGGAGCACAGAACATGTGAGGCCTAGATACAGAGATACAATTACATTTCTTATGCACCGTGTCTGATTGACGCCTGATTAGCGTGGATCGTTCGGCGAATTGAGCCTTCCATCAGTCATCAAATCAGCAACAATTAACTGTTCTTGAGCAGTTACGTCGGAACAATACCGCTGCTGTCTTTGCCGGATGACATGTTCTTCCATTTGGCGGATTTAAATAGAACTTAGTTTTTTTATTATTATTTTCAGTGAACAAGATGGAGCTTAAAAAAAATCTGCTCCAGCACTGCAGGGAAACACAATTGTGGGGGGGGGGGAACATGCCACATATGATGAATATTACCGTGTACTTATTAAAAAGTCAAGCTAGGAACAGCAAAAAACATCACTTTGTTCTAACTGAACCACAAATGGCAGCTTATTTATTTATTTTTACTAGACTTTAAGAAGTAGTTCCTGAAGTGTAAGTGGATTCAAAATTGTGCAAAGTTTGAGGCAGATTTACAAATACAAATATGAAAAATACGCTGTGCATTTGTATTCAAACTGTTTACCCTGATGTAAATATAATCTATAAATCGATCACTTACTAGATTTCTGTGTAATTTTGTGTAAATTCATCTCCGTGAAAAACAGAACAAACAGCATCATAAAGACCAAGAAAGACAGCCCAGCTTGTCTTTATATGTACGCTTTGCCTGTTTTGTGTTTAAAGATGTATCTATATGGATGGTTGACTGATGCTTGGCTATGGTTTATTAGTGAATTGACTTTTGAGAGAATGGCTAAATTGGAACGGTTTAGATCAAATGTATAAGAAAATCCCTCTCAAAGTATCCCAAATAAAACATTTCTAGCAAAACTTGCAAAGCCACAGATTTATTTTACTAAGGGGTGGGCTGCCACCTTATCGTGGTGGAGGGGTTTGAGTGTCCCAATGATCCTAGGAGCTATGCTGTCTGGGGCTTTATGCCCCTGGTAGGGTCACCCAAGGCAGACAGATCCTAGGTGAGGAACCAGACAAAGCGGGAGCCCGAAGACCCCTTATGATGGAAAATATCTTTGGATCTGGCGTTCCCTCGCCCGGACGTGGGTCACCGGGGCCAGGCCTGGAGGTGGGGCACGATGGCGAGCGCCTGGTGGCCGGGCTTTTACCCACGGAGCCTGGAGGTAAAAGACAGGAGACATGGGTCCTCCTTCCAATGGGCTCACCACCTGTCGGAGGGGCCAAAGGGGTCGGGTGCATTGTGTTATGGGCAGCAGCCGAGGGAGGGGACCCTGGTGGTCTGATCCTCAGCTGCAGAAGCTGGCTCTTGGGACGTGGAACGTCACCTCTCTGGTGGGGAAGGAACCGGAGCTAGTGTGCGAGGCTGAGAGGTTCCGGCTAGAAATAGCCGGCCTCACCTTGACGCATGGCTTTGGTTCTGGAACCAGTCTCCTTGAGAGGGGCTGGATGTACTTTCACTCTGGAGTTGCCCACAGTGAGAGGCGCCAGGCAGGAGTGGGCATACTTGTTGCCCCCCATCTCGGTGCCTGCACG